CACACACACACACACACACACACACACACACACACACAGTGTTGTAACAGATACATGTTTTGAAGTAGCTAGATATAGATACAGATACAATAAGAAAAGTGTAGCTAGGTGAAGATATAGATACAAATTTCATGAATAACTAGATGTAGATACAGATACTTTGAGAATGTATGTAAATCTCTTTAGATATTTCAGATATTTCGATTGCAGAGCGTTCAGTAAGCTCTTACATTTCATTGGTACATATTTTTAGATCTAAAAGAATATGCCAATGGGATACAGGAGCTCACTGAGCGGTCAGTTAGCGGTTGTAGTACTGAATGCACTCAATGGGCGCGTTCAGCGGAAAAAGCGCTCAGTGAGCAATCAACGATTACTGGTTCTTATTGTTAGATCCCTAAATCTAGACCAATTACATTGACAAATTATTCAACTGTTGTGCAACTGTTGAGTTCGCTGAACACACCCAATAAAGCAACCATGGTGTAAGAATATAAGGGTTGCGTTCCGTTTCACACATTATACGCGTATTCCCTACAGTATACGTGATGTGAACTATAGATAAATGCGCGCATATACGTGAAACGGAACGCGGCCAAGGTGTTTTATTGCGTATCATGGAGGTGGGAGTAGAACTAATCAGAAAGTTACCACAAAATATACTATGTTAACGTTACGTCTGATGTGAGCCATTAAGTTTTTCGCATTTGTGGCAACTTTCTGATTGGTAGCTACTGCGCATCCACCAGAGTGCATCACTTTATATTCTTACACTATGGGAACAACTTTGTCTCTTGTGAAAAGTAACAATTATATATAAAATCACCAAAATTGCATTTTATTTCGTATTTGTATCTAAAATGACAAATTTAGATACATATACGAGATAAGATGTAACTAGATACAGATATAGATACACAAAAAGTATCTAGATGCGTTACAACACTGTACACACACAACAAGGGTGTTTGACGCAAGATATGTACAAAACCATGTGTGAAGTTCGAGCATGTCTTGAGCACGAGATTCTTCTTCTGGCATTTTGCAAACGACTACGTGAAATTTCGAGATATTAAGAAGTTTGGCGAATCAGAGTGCGCGACGTTGTGGGATGAGCTCTGTTAGCACGGGATCTAATTTAAAATGGCTAAAATGTGACTGTTTCTTAGCAATATGCGCACGACGTTTGCGATACGTGAGAAAACAATTATCTCCGCGCTGCTCATAACCATACCTCGCCTTCAATTACAGAGACATGCAAAAAGATAGCTTTTTTCAGAACCCAAGAAGCAGAGAGTACGTGATTTCGAAGGTTTTGATTGAAACCGAATCCGTCATCCAAATTTTTTCATCACGTCAGATTTCGGAAATGTCCTAACCTAAAAGTATTAAAATGGCTATTTTTTGACGTTTATAAATGTATACAACTTTGAAATGTTAATATAAATGGTTTATATGTTAATTTGGGCAATAGGTTCGAATTCTATACGAAAAAAATCTATAATGATAGTTTAATAAAGAAAAATAATAGTAATAATAATAATAATCGGATTTGATTTCAACATATGAGAATACTTCGTAATTACGTACTTCTTGGGTGAAATTTGCAAGCCTGTGTTATCAGCCGATATCCTTCTGTATTGAGAGACAATCGCATTTTAGCCAGATGAAATCTTGCGTTTATAGAGCACATCGCGCGCTCTGGTTTGTCAATCTTTTTTCATTAATATTTCGAAATTTTATGGTTTGTAAAATGGTTCTCGTGTTCAGGTTGATGTGCTCTATCTTCACATGTGGTTTTGTACGCCTTGTATCAGACGCTCTGTGTATTATAATATAAGAAAGATTTTATAATGATAAAGTACATTTTATCATTATCACTTTGACAATATTGCCAGATCAAAAGAAATTCTGTATAATAAGTATAATAATGTAATGTATTTTCTGTTTCTAATGTAAAATACTGTTGTGCGTGTTCAGAAAATAATTTACACATAAAGGACTGTGTGCATACTAGGAACTACATTATAGCGTGAAATTCGAGTCTTTAAAGTTGCATATAGCTATGTGAAATAATGTATCTTCAGTAATATAGTAATTTACATACATTATACAAATATGTAAAAGGTTCTTAAAATATATAAAAAGTGTTTAGACATTTTTCAGTTTTTTATATATCTTTTAAATATTACCATTAGAAAATTTTTTTGTATTGGTATTCATGTAATTAGTATTTCTAATATCAATAAAATAAACATATCTCACGAGGTTGATTGCGTTTTACGTGAAAAAGTCGTTAATTAGAAATATTCAATTGAAAAAAAGGAACGATACCGTGCAGTGAAACGGAATTCCAATGCAGCCCAGGCGAGTGCATTCCGAAGACCTGGCTATGTGATCGCCAGATAGATTGCACCAACGGTGTGGACGAGAAGAACTGCCACAGTAAGTCGTAACACGTGCGCGGATAAATACTTTAGTATATAGGTGTTACCGGAAAGCAGCTCAGGAGGAAAACGGAAGATCAGCCGACAAAACTATGGATCATACGACAAGACACAACGAATTATTTGCAACAAGGCCCCTTGAGATTGTTTCCTCGTGCACGCGATTTGTCCTTTTGTTTATGATGTTACAAAATGCAGCTTTTCGATTTGTTAATGGCATCAATGGTATGCACATAAAAGTACGCAAAGAAAATAGTAAATATGTATATGTACACACACACACACACATATGCGTATATGTGTGTGTATATATATATATATTACATATATACACAGGGTGTCCCAGATTCTCTTCCACAATTTTTGTGGGAACATAGAATGGCTTGAGGTGAGCATAAAAATCCTACTGTTTTACGATATGCGCAATAAGTCGAGATATTAATTAAATATTAATTAAATATTAGTAACAATAACACGTACGGCATGGTATATGTGTTGTTGTATACTTGTACATTAAGTCAAATTGAAAAATAAGCTTTTTATCATTTTGCAAATAACCACGTAGATTTTTAGTTATTAATGAAAGAAAATGTTACATGACTGTGCGCGATAATGCATAAATCTTCTTTAATTAACATCTAAAAATGTATGTATTTATTTGCAAAATGATAAAGGACATTTTTGTTCAGTTTAACTTAATGTATAAGTACACAATGACAGATGACATTATTATAGCTCATCTACCATATCGTGTATGATCATTTACCAATCTTCTTTAATTAATATCTCGAGATTTATTGCAAATATCGTAAAACGACATAGGACTTTTATGTTCATCTCAATCCGTTCTATGTTCCTACAAAAATTGCAGAGGAGAGTTTGGAATACCCTATGTGTATGCGTGCGTGCGTGCGTGCGTGCGTCGTGTGTGCGTGTTTGTATGTGTGTGTGTGTGTGTGTGTGTGTACTCGATATAATAATTTATAATTATTTAAATTAAGTGGGTAATCGATGAATTAGTAATGAGTATGACGTAAATTAACGTAATTTTATGAAGCGTGTTGTAAGCTTGATTCTATTTCTTTTACATTCACATATAGCGTCATGCATTCGTCATTACTCACTAGATCAAAAGTTATTTGAAATTTTTGACCGGACATATTTTTTTTGTAGATATGCATTCATCATAATTGTTGATTATTCGAGGAAACGGCAACAATGTTTCAGAGTAACTGTGACACTTTGACAGCTTGACATACAGTTTATGCCAGTAAGAATCCGCTTATGTGTTATGCATAATTATCAGGAAAGTAATATAATTCTCTGAAAATACGTATTGGTAGATTAGGTGTTGGCGTATATAAACAACAGCTAAGATATTCAGAAATCTTTAAGCTGTAAGAAGAAAAATAGTAATATGAGGAGAAAAAAAGTGTAGTGGAGGATCAAAACGAGTAAAAAAATATTTTTTCTCAAGATCATTTTTTGAGATTTCAAGCTCATCAAACTTTTGATAAAATCGATAAATTTTGATAATCTGAAATTTTTGATAAAATCGATATTTGTATTTAAAAAGAAAAAACTAAGTTCTTTAAATATAAATTATTTAAATATAAATAAATAAATCTACAAAGTTTTAAATTGATATATCGAGTAGTTAAAACAGAAATTTCCGAAACTTGTTTTATTTTTTGGAATTCGTCATATTAGAAATATTCTTTAATGGGGGGAGAGGAGTCATTTTAACATTTAATAAAATAAATTTTGTATTTCTTCCCTCTCCTGCTCCTAAATTACATGAACGAAATTGAAAATGACTGCAGAATTAGGATCTATTTATAAGTTTTTTTACAGTTTTTTAAAGGACAGTTCTAGAATTGCTCTATCATATTAGGATTTTGAGATCTTTGAGATTAGAGGTGTCAAAATAATGTTTTTGGCAAAGTTCGTTTACTTATTGTAACGACCTTTAATTTTTTTTCAAAATTCTGATGACAGCATAAAAAAATATGAATCTTTTCCTACAAAATGCAATTTAGAGAGTTCCGATATGATTTTTTTCGCCAATATATTGCAAATTGCAATATATTATTAATAATTATATTTTCTTTTCGTAATTTTAATCAGATATTCATAACTATTGCGGCTTATAATTGTCCGATAATTACATTTTGTATGATAATCTCAACACTTGAGTTTACTGTCACGAGTAATAAACGGAACACAAAATTACCAAACTAAGGAACTTCTTCTTATATATGACTCGGAATTCTTATTCCATTAGCCATTCACACTAAGGAACGTTTAATAGAACTTAAAGAAAACATATGAATGTACACGTAGTAGAAGAAAAAATTTAAAGTAAAATAGATTGCCGATTCTCGACATGTCCGCTTCAATTGTTGACAATTGTTGTCTCAGAGGTCAATCTTGTTATGTCTAATCTTACTATATTAATTTTCCTCTTATTTTAAGAGTATGGTACAATCAATATAAATTGATCCGTTTCAATATGACGCAGATGCAGATATAATAATATGTCGATATAATGATACATTGTTGCTGCTTTGTTAAGTAATTAATAGTCATAATGAACGCATGTTTAGAAATATATGCGTTTACTCGAAAATTTCTAGTAATTTTCGATTTAATGAATGTAAAATATATATTTGTTTGCTGAACGATTTGAACTTTTTTGCATGTTTCAAGACGCACTTGGCGTTCAATGAAAAAGAACCTATTTTATGAGAAATATTTAAAAATAAATTCTTCCATTGTATATCGGCAGCGTTTCCAAGCGCGTCGATAAAAATATATTTAAACCTTTCTGTTAGCGGATTGTATTTATGCTTGCAAAAGTTCGTATAATGTTAAAGCTGTTTTTGTTTATTAATGACAATGAAATGATATAATATCTTATTTAATATCTTATATCCCGCCGCCATCTAGTACGCTCTCCTCCTTCTATCCCATGGCGCATTGCGTCCAAGTACCCGGGGGCTACCAAAAAATTGGTGTCGACCCCGGCTTATTTGTATTATTTGCACCGGATGAGGAGAGGCAACGGTGGAGACGGGCATACATGGACAGTACGTCTTAAAGGATAGCAACTTTTAACTTTGAGACTGACAGTTATACCATTTGGTACAGTAACATTGTTTCTCTCTGTAGTTGCCGTGCGCTCGGGATCGCGCCAGAGATGTCGCTTCCGAACGGCATCTCTGAGCGTTATCTAGGGAGAGGAGAGTGTCGTAAGCGTGAAGCGTCAGGTAGTTCAGTGGTTTAGAGCAGTCGCCCGGCAAGCGAAAGACCCAGGTTCGAGTCCCGGCCTAGCAAAACTGCGCTCTCGATATTTTTCTGTCTCTGGAACGAAAAGATACGCAGATCTCGAACGTATAACGTCCCGCCGCCACCTAGTACGCTCTCCTTTTATGGCGGGACGTTGTTATCAATAATTTTTTGCCATCTCTTGGATAGTCTGATCTCGCACCGATAAAATGACTTATCTTTTAAAGCAATTCATTCATTGACTTATTTTCGCACTTTCTCAGTATCTCGAAATTGTGTATCAGATAGAACGTGCTACATTGATCTGAATAGATGAAAATTAGATGAGGTGATATCTGGAGACTTGAAGAACTTGGTGCGACAGGTTTTCTTAATCTAACTTGAGCAACATTTCTTTAGTCGCAACAGCAGCGTGCGATCTGACGTCATCGTGAAACAGTATGACTTTGAGTCGATTTGAGGACATTTTTTCTTTATAGCTTGATTCAAATATCATAATTGCTGACTGTAGTGATCTCCTGTAACTGTTTGCTTCGGTGGTAATAGCATATAGTAAATCACTCCTTAGTTTCATCTGATATACAGGAAAATATTATGATTGTGGATGTTACGTTTTATTGTGGATTTCGATAATTGACCGAAATCAAATGACTGCGTTTAAAATTGTTAAAATAGATTCATTTTTTATTATCCGTAACTATTCGTCATAAAAAAACTTTTTTGTTTGTGCTTGATAAGCAATGAAAGATAAATTTGCAACATCATCGATTATCGCGTTTGTAAAGAATTCATGGGGAAGCCATTTTCTTTACTTTTGGATTTTTCCCATTATTTTCAAATGGTAAAATAAACTTTATTTGGTCCCATTTTCAATCGCCTTTTATTCGGAATTATGAATTTGTCAACTATCAATTCTGATTGAATATAGATAATATTTAAAAATTAATAAAAAATTTGATGGAAAACAATTACTAAATCGTTATCACCATTTATTTGTACCTTACGAATTTTTGCAAGCATCTAATATTATGTGTACAAATGAATAATTCGAATTTTTCAGTTAAATTCAAGGTTTATTAAAAAAAAAAAGAAGTAAAACAAATTTTTCAATCAAAGTATTCGCTGTTGCTTTTTATAACTTTAAGGGACCTGAAGGGTCAGATTGCCTGAAAATCGTGCTTGTTCTTTGACAATTTTTATGACACAACTGAATGAATATGCAAAAGTGTTATTTTGACGTGTATTTATACAACATATAAAGAGAAGAAAAATATAATTTTGATGATCAAATATTGATCGTATGAACCATTATAATAGAAATTGAGTAAAAGTTAACAAAATTGCAAATATCTTAATGGAATATTATTAAATTTTCAGTTCTTTTATAGTAAAAAAATTAATATTTCAAAATTAAGTATTTTCACGAGTTTGTCAGTGGTTTACACGATAACGACAAGCTTACGGAAATTTTTCATCTAAAATTCAGCTTAATTGAACTATCGAGAGTCAAGATATTACTAAAAAATGACAACCTCGAAAAAAAACGAAATATATTTTAACTGCATGTACCATACACTCATATTGAATATTTGATCATCAAAATTATATTTTTTTTCTCTTTATATGTTATATAAATACACGACAAAATAACATAACTTTTTGCATATTCATTCAGTTTGACATAAAAAATTGTGAAAGAACAAACACTATTTTCAGGCAATCTGACTCTTCAGTCATTTTAAGTCATCTTTCGGGCAGCTTATGGATTTTATTTTGGAAAAATGCTGTATCTTTGGATATGATGAAGTTGTCAAGCCATTTTCGGTTCCACTAATTGGAAGTGCGTATCAGACAAGGCGTGTTGCATCGACCGGAACAACTGGTAACTGAAAAGACTTGTGTCTTGTAAATACTCCGAGTGCTGAAAGACGTCACCATTAAAATTTATTATAGTGTCTTCTGCCTTAGAATCAATATGTAGCTTAGTGTTGTTACACAGAACGTTCTCCATTGCCAGTATACAGACATTTTTGTTCGAATTTCTGGTTCAAACGAATTAATTGATGTTGACAATAATTCACGGTAATTGTTTTACCTGCTTCTAACAGCTCACAATCACATCCTTGATATCTCACTAAATATAGAGCAGAATATTCTTTCCGAAATGTTTGGACTTTCTGAACGATATTGATGGTTCGTCGAAATTTATCCATGACTTTTTGCGTTTCATATTGTTATAGAATATCTAATGTCTATCGCTTGTAACGATTTTCCACAAGAAAGATTTTCTACACTGCTTATTGAGCAGAGAATGATATGTTACTCGTTGATTTTTGTTGGTTTTAGTGAGTTCATGCAGAATCCATTTTCTTTTTTTTGGATCTTTCTCTCATGTAAACATTTGCAAATGGTTTGCTGCGTTATTCCCAACTGCTCTGCAAGCTCTTTTTGCGTTTGTGCCGAATTCTTAGCGAGCAGTTGCTCTAAATTATCGTTGTTGTACCTTCGAGGACCTTCAGGGCGTTGTTCAGATTGAAATCATTGTTGCTTTTAAACCTCTTAAATAAAAATACGCATACGTCGTACGTATAAAACATCTTTAACGAAAAATGAACAAATTGATTGGCGCGTTTCCTGATGGAAAAACTTTGCGGAAAATATAATGAAATTTGCTGAAAACTTAATAAAATATGCTGAAATTTTGCTGAAAAACCAATTGATCTATCAACTAATCCACCTTTATTATGATTTCTGCAATATTCATGAAAATCAGCGAAATTTTAGTCAATTTCAGTAAGTTTCAATAAAATTCGGTAGAAAATCATTAAAATTTAAAATAAAAGAATATTATTCAACATGTTTATCATTGTTATGTTAGCACTGTTTCATATAGGTGTGTGGGAGATTAAAGGTTAAAATTTATATATATATATATATATATATATAAATTTTATATATATATATATATATATATATATATAAATTTTATATATACAGGGTGTCCGAAACCTTTCTTGACACAATTCGTAGAAAAGTAGAACGGATTAAACGGAACAGAAAAGTCAGATACTGTTTTGAGAAATTCGCAATAGTTTTCGAATAATTAATTATTTTGTCTGAGCAAATAAGTGCTCGGGCCGGCGCGCGACCGTGATACACGCGAATCGCGGCTCGCTGCGT